AAAAAACTTCTGCAGTATCTGACTGCAGTGCCAAGATAAAGGAATGATATTTTTATTTAAGTGGTAACAGGAATACCTCAACATGGAATAACAGCAAGACATAACTGAAGATCACCACATAGCAGCCTATCTACTGAAAATACCTTCTTATTCATTCGTAACTATAAAATGGTTAAATCTTTGAATCCAAATCTTTGAATCTAGCAAAAAAGACCAAAAATAGCAAAATTTGAAACAGAAGTCATACGGTTTATGTTGCTAGGTAAAACATATTCGTATTCATGTCGCCTTCACAGTAACGCACTAATTATTAGCCCAGTGTAGACAATGTTCTCATCTCTGGGGTCATGGAGAAAGGAATATACAGCTCCACATTATGCTATGAGTTTCCCTCCTCACTTCATTTCTCAGAGCTAACCATGGCTAGTGTTCCTTGTGCACTAATAATTACCTTTAACAAGTAAAGGGATTGTGCAGAGAGGAAGCAGTATAACGGCCTACAGAACAGAGTTCCTATCTTTGAACCAGGGTTCAGTAATCAGAAACATGGAGCTGGTCTTCACTGATTTTCCACCTCTCCAAGCACTCCCTATGCCTCCCTCAAATCTGAACCAGAAGGTGGGGGGGGGGGGGCATCATCTGGAACAAGGGGAAAGTGGTATTGGCACCATGGAAGGAAAAAGGAAAGGAGAAAATAACCTCACCACCACCACCTTTCTGCTGGGAGGAGTGAAAACATCTGAGAAGTCAGGCATAAGTTTCGCCATGCCTTATTTTTCAGCAAAATCTCTGGGAATTCAGCGATATGGTAGTGACTACAAAAGTGGCAGAGAACCCAGCAGGGACCACAAGAAGCACATGGCGGACTGCATGCAGCACAAAGACTGTGTTGCCCATCCCTGCCTCAATGCAATATCCAAATATGACCACAATTTCCCTAATTCTATTGCTCTGTACAGGCTTAGGTGATCTAATTTCTATTATGTACTTTTAGAACCCTGAAGTCCACTGATCAGTGGCAGACAGGAGACCATTCCATAACCTACTACACCACTGGTGCAGTGGTAGAGAATCCCTTGGTGGAGAATCCCTTTTCAAGAATCAGCAACTAATCCCAACATCTGTATGACTGAAATCCTATTTTACAGGTTCGGAACTTTAAGGTTCAAAAATATACAAATCATGCATAAATGAGTAAGCATGCAGATAATTGCACACTCATTCTTAACACAGTTCCTTCTACTAAACCTCAGTTACACCATTACCCTATGAATCTTTGCTCAAAAATGTATCACCCTGACTCAAACAGAACTTATTCCCAAGTTAACTATGCAAACAACTATAGTATCAGAAAAAAAATATATTTTAAAATTGCAGCAAATCTCTTTTTCTTACTGTATTTCTGGAAAACTACAATTTGTCCCTTCCACATATTTTGTTAAAAAAAAAGAGAGTGGCATGTTTCTGGGAATGCACAGAGCATCTTTTCTCTAAAATAGTGTCTGCTTCGTGAAAATAAGGCCTTACCTTCAGAGACACTGAAAATGTCTATCTCACATACAGGATGGATCAATGCACTTTTCAAAAGTATAATTTAGATTATTGTCAACGTTTATTTCATTCTTTTAAGAACCTTGTCTGCACATGTTATTGTACATTAGAATTTGGTGACCCATATTTGGTGATGTGCAGTAGACCACAATGCTGCCTTGCAAAGGTCCTGCATGCCCACATGAAGTGGCCACTGCTGTCATGAAGTATGCTCTGGATCACTCAGGAAGAAGCAGTTCTGCAAGCTAGTACACAAGCATGCTGGTCTCAGCCACCCAGTGTGAGAAGCATTGAGGGCTGTCAGGTTTGTCTCTGGACCTCTTGGCACAGAAAACAAAAAGTCCCTAGAAACAGTGAAAGGCTTCAGCTCAAGACAGGTAGAATGCAAGTTAGATATCATGAGGTTCAAAGGGGTAGCAAAAAAAGGCAAGAAAAACAATGTCTTGGTTAGGGTGGAATGGTGAGGCTACCTTTGAAAGGAATGAGGGGCCTAGACATATGACTGCCTTGTCTCCTTGGAAGGTGAGATATGGCTGGTAAATGCAGAGTGCACATAGTCCATTGGCCTTTGTGACTGATGTCATAGCCATGAGGAAGATTACCTTACAGGAGGGAAATCTGAGATCAGTGGTGGCCAAGGGTATGAAGGGCTATTTTTGAGAGCCTGTAGAACAAATGAAAAGCTGCAGCTCAGGACAAAGGACAGGATTTGTGGGAAGATGTTTGCAGTCCTTTCAGGAGCCAATAGGTCAGTGGATGCAAAAAGACCAAGAGACCCTGGATCATTGGATGGAACAAGAAAATTGCAACCAGGTAAACCTTGATAGAAATAGATTCCAGGTCCCTGTGGTAAAGCATATGCAGGAAGTCAAGGATTTGTTGGACAGATGACTGGAAAGTGTCAGTCTTGCTGGGTGAAGAGAATTACATTCCATTTCACTGCAGACAATCTCCTTATAGAATCACAGAATAGTAGAGTTGGAAGGGGCCAAGCCCATCAAGTCCAATCCCCTGTGACTATTCTCAGTACTACATTGAGGGTTGCCTCTACATCTGGTCGGAAAGCTGTGTCCTAGTCTACTGGACCATCTTTCATGCCATTAGGAATAGGGTGGTGGCATCAAGATGGAGGATCAAGCCTAGGTTCTGTGATACAATGTTAAAGTACAATGGAGGTTGGATGAATATCCTGTTGAAGCAGCCTGAGCAGATGTGCAAACCTCAACTGCCAGGACCACCAGAGAGTGATGAGGATGCAAGTGGTCCTGTCTCTGAATCTTTGCCAGTACCCTGGTGATGAGTAGGAATGGTGGAAAGAAATAAAGGAGAGCCCTGCCCAGCAAAAAAGGAATGTGTCTCTTGCTGGTCCCAGAACTGGGTGCAAAAGTTGGCACACACTGTGTTGGTTTCAGTGGTGAAGAGATCAATGGATGGTAGCCCTCCAGGTCTGGAAGATTTCTGCAAGGATTCTGAGATCCATATCCTATTCGTGTATTCTCATGCTCTGTCTGCTCTGGGAATATGCTCTGAAATTGGCCATCCCAGCCACATGGACAACAGTAAGTGTAATGTTCTTGTTGATGCACCAGTCCCATATGTGCATGGTGACATGCCAGAAAGATGGAGTTGAGGCCTCCCTATCTGTTCAGATAGAACACTAAGGACGTGTAGCCCATGGCAATCCGTACATGGAAGTTCTGAAGAACAGGTTGGAAAGCAATGCAGGCCTTAAAATTTCCAGATCATTGGTGTGCTTGTGGCACTCCTGAGCAGTCCATAGCCCATGAGTCTGATCGGTGCCACAGTGTGCTCCCATGACCATGGGTGATCAGCACAAATGTCTGGTTCCAGTGTTGTGAAGCTGACTCTCTTGGCCAGATTAGATTAGTTGGTCATGCTATGTTTGACCAAACCAAGTGCAAAATGGTAAGACATTTCCAACTTGAATTACACTGAGATCAGTAAGTAAGTGTGCATGAACCAAAGCTTCAGAACTTCAGAATGGATGAATCCGAAGTCTAGCAAATGGGACTTTTACAATCATCACTGCCCTGAACCCAAGGGGACAGTGTACATGCCATACCATAGCTATGGATTTGGTGCTTTGAGGCCATGTCTATGAGGACCACAGTTGCCAAGTTGATCCACACTCCAGTGTGGAGGACTGACTAAGAGGGACAGAGACTCAAAGTTTTCAGGAGGTAGCAAGTGCTATGGATGAATTCTGTGAGTTTGTCTTTCAAAGGGGCAACCTGGAACCATTCACCAAGTTAAGGTTTCCTTGCAGGTGGCAGTGGCACAGACAAGGTCCATGCTCTCGGGATGGTGGAACATCTGAATGGGAGGACAGAAAACTGAGAAGTTTCCATACCAACTCAGAAGAAAAGGAAATGCCAGTAATCCTGATGGCTTGTAATATGAAAATAGGCCTCCTTCAAGTCAACAGAAGCAAATCAATCATCTCGACACAGCAGTGGTAAGATGCTCTGCCAGGAAACCGTGCAATATTTCTTTGATGTGATGAAAAAGTTGACGTTTCTGAGATCTAGAATTGAGTGGGTGCCAACATCCTTCAGTACTATAACATACTGGGACTAGATCCTGTATCTAAGGTTAGATGAAAAAACAGACTGGATCGCCCCTTTCAATGGCGGCATAGCTACCTCCGCTACCAGAACAAAGGATGGTAGGGTGACCCACACAGAACCAAGATGTGGCAAGTGTCAAGTTCAACATCTTCTATTTGCTATGGTGAGGACATACTCATCCAATGTTACAGCTTCCCAAGCAAGAAGATGGATGGAGACACATCCATCAAAAGAGGGGGAGGTGAATTGGTCAGTGGTGCTAGTTAATGGTGCCTTTTGTTTTAACACACAAGGTGACTCTAACAGATGGAAGCAAGCTATATATGGACAAGCAGAGACCTGCAATGATTTGCTTGCAAGTAAAAAGAAACCAAAAAATTCATGGTTAATATGAGGGGTCTTTTAAAAGTTTCCACACTTTTATATTTTATATATATTTTGCTGATGGCATTAAAAAGTTGGTACAATGCTGGGAAAATGCATCACAAAGGAAGGTATGTCGAAAAGTGATGTAATTTGGTTTTGAAATTCTTAATAGTTTTAAAAAGTGCGGTAACTTTTTGAAGAACCCTCGTATAAAACAACTGCTATCATGTCACACTTGTTTTGCTTATCTCCTTCAATGCTACTGTTCCAAATACCCCCAAAGTATTAAAGTGCTTTTAGAGTAGCTTTGCCCATACACTTTCATATTTAATTCCCAGCAGCCTGATCCAGCAAGCCCAAAGGCCAGAAATGTTGAAGTGGTAGTCCAAAACACCTGGAGGGCACTAAGCTGTGGAAAGCTGCTCTCAAGGATAATGTCAGATACAGTTCTCACACATGGCATAATATTAGACAACTAAATGTTTTGCCTCTTACCAGAACTTGGCATATGGTTTACTCTGGCTGGATTTAGCAATTCAACTGGCTGGTCCCTGCCAGAAAGTCCATCTGAAAAAAAGAAATTCACCTAAAGTTAGTAGTTCAAAGAGGTTAAAGCACATCAGAGGTTCTGACAAGGCTGGACAATTAGAAAGGGCACAGAGAACAGTAAAGAGAAGCATGCTCAAGAAAAGGCTTAATTTTCACATATAAATACAATTTACAGTTACTCTTTTCTATTTCAATGTTCCGCTACAACTGAATTACTTGTGAGAGTTTCATTGCTTTTATTTGGCAATTTTGTTTTATTTGAATCTTGTATCTTGTTCATGAAAAACTTCTATGACCTCTGACTCATACTATTAAGAAAAATATTTCCAAGTTTTAGGTTATCCTGTGGATGAAAAGCAGTAAAAAGTTGAAACAAGACTGAGCACCTATGTGGACAAGAATACAGGAGGCTTCCTCCAGGGAGAGAGAATATGAGGTGTTGGAAACCATACCATGTGCAAAATAAGGATCATACTGAAGACCAGTAAGAAACATTGTTCTACCGAACAGTACCAAAACATGGGGGAAATGTCCGCTGGGGAAAAATGCATTTCATGTGGCAATTCTTGACACACTGTGAACATAGTGCACTAGAAACGTATGACCAGACTGCTGTCTCTGGCTTGTTAGCACTACAAGTCCGTGTATACAATATGTGACAAGCAGACAGGGAGACAGAAAACAGACTGACAAGAAGATGAACTCAATGTTTTATCTGAGAGAAATGAAAAGCAGAATTGTGCTGTAGTTTTCTGTATGTTGCCAGTCAGTTATATTACAAAGGGGTTAAGATTATATTATAGAGCTAATAAAAAGATCTAATTACCATTTATTGTCTATTTACTGATAACAATGTGAACCTTTGAGTGGAAATACGGCCCTGAACAGGCAAGTCCAGAAACAACTGTTGCATGCTGGAAAACACAAAAATAACATAAAAGAAAAATGACAAAATAAGCAGTTTTTAAAACACACTTGAAATTTCTAGAAATCACCCTTAAATAAAGCTGTGTTTCCCATGGTATAGTCACAAATTCATGTTATCATATTACTCCCCTGCTAATTTTTTTGTAAGCAGCAGTGCACATGAAAGGAAGAATAAAATAGTTCGCATATCCTTCATTTTAGCAAAGGCCAGGCTCCCTAGGTTAATCCAGAGGTGCAACAGCTGCAGGATGCCTGTGCCCTCCAGAATTCTACCACTACTGCCAGCTGCTGTAGCAACAGCTGCTTGTATTGGCACTGCCCATCTTGAGAGCTTGTACAAAACAGTCAAAGACACTATCCCACTGCTCTTTTCACCACACCACCTTGTACCAATTGGTGGATACTCTCCATCTCCCTCACCCAACCTAGATATCTGTCCAGCCATGCTGTAAAGCCATGCTGTGCCGCTCATAACTTGATCTGCATGACAGGAAAACCAAACACTGCTTCCTATGGTTTGTTCGCAGTGTCATGCAAACCCACTCATGGTGATTAAGCACAGTAAGGTTGTCAACCACAATAAGACACAGCAGTCCCTTCTAAGCTTTGACTGCACTATAATTACAACCCATCATGGACCAAGCTCCAGCTTAAGTGAGCTGCTGGGCAAGAGCAGTCAGTGCTGTTATTGCCAAGCAGCTATCCAGAGCGCACAGCTGAGGATTACCCTCACTATCAGAGGCAACCCACCTCCTCCCCAAGAGATCTACTTTTAGGTAGGAGCCAGTAAGTGCCTCATATACGTACAAGTAGAACCATACACTTCTCTTCTGAGAAACTCCTGCTTAAAATAGTACTAAAAGTACTATTCAGTATGCATGCAGTTTGCATACTGAAAACATAGGATACTGCCCACAAACTATTCATCTGCATTAACTATGGTTTATGGGCAGCATTTTATGTTGCCCACATGCCAGAAGAACCCACCACTAGTACAATAGGGTGCAGACAATTTTTAAGCAACCATAAAGCTGCCCCACTTGGCAGAAAGGAGCCAGTGTTCCACCCAGTGACACTGCCTCAAGAACAGGGTAGCAGCAAAGAGTGGATCAAACAGCCACCCATGCTCCAGAGGTCTCCACTGGACCAGGGCACGGGGGGCCTAACCTGTTTTCCATTTCTTTGCACTGCACTTCAGCAAAAAATCCGTATTTGCTAACAGCTGCAGAAAGCCAAGATCAGCTTATGATCGGTAACTGTTGAAGAAAGTAGGGCCAAACTGGATGGGGAGGCAGATGTGTCTAGTCACTAGCAGATGTCACTAGCAGATGTCTAGTGACCCCTGAAGGAAACCAGTTTCTGAAATGCATAGGGCAATAATAAAACCTTTTCATTGGCGCTAATGGCTTTTTCATATATTTTACCCCATTGATTTCTCCTGTCAAAGAGAAAAGCATCATTCCTCCCTGGAGTGCCCCCCTAGAACACCAACAAGAAGAATGAGAGAAAAGCCCTCACAATGAGCCCTATCATCTGCTGGGTGCTTGGCACTTAATGGCAATCCATTGTGGTGATTTATCATAATGGGCTGCCGTTACATGCAAGCCTGCCCTATAAGTCTTTTGCTGACTCCAGAGGAAGGGATGATAGAGGATAGGGCAATAAAAATTGCTATATTAAAACACTGTTATGCCATTACATTACTCCAATATTCTTGAGACCTTGAAGAGGAGGGCAGAAGAATTCTGTAGTAGTCTTCTGTAGGTACTCCAACTACTACTATTCACTCTTTAGAAAAATGGTACACAGGCAAGCAATCCAGACTCATCTCTAATACTGTAGGCCAATCTGAGAAGTGTTAGAAACATTATTTTTTGAAGTCTACACGGTCGAGATCAATTCAACTGCTACCCATGCTAACAAAGATTTAGTGGTGTTTTTTTTAAAGTAACTAGTTGTTTGGCAACTATGGAGTAGAAACTGCTGTTTGCTGATAAATAATAAAAACAATTGTAAATGCAGGACAGAACAAGATGCAGGAGCAAAAAAGTAGTCAAAAAACACAGCTTGGATTTCAGCATTAGAGCTATACACATATCCTGCCAAACTCAGAATATAATGAAATTTCACTTGAGAAAGAAAGGTGGATTTGTACTGAAGGGAAGAAAAGCTACATCAGCATGTACAACCTTCCCCTCACCTTTGAGCTGAACTCCACCAAGAAACCCCACACATAGTTAGCAAAGGTTAGGCTTGATGTTAACAGTTCTGTGTGTATAGGAAATGCCGCCCACAAAGTTTGCTGTACCACTGAAAATAGAATGAGATACCATTACTGCTGCTGAAATCTCTCCATTTATAAATGTTCTGTGTTCAACACACAACTCCACCTATACTATCACTGTATAAGGAAAACAACATTAAGTCTAAGTGTAGCCCTGAATAATAATTTTAATTTAAGTCAGGCAAATGCACACATTATTTCTTCTGCTTAGTGAGTGCATCTAGAAACTACACAGCGAAAGAGTCATGGATACTTTTTCATCACACATATACATAAGGAAACTTGTTCTTGGTTGATGCATGTCAAGGATATAAACAGGATACCTGAAGGTACATCTTCTTCCCAATGAGCCCTTACGCCCCTTAAGATCTGTAGGAGAGGCTCTACTCTGAGAACCCTCACTGAAAGAAGTGAGGATGGTCTCTACCCGGAGGAAAGCCTCTTCTGCGGTGGCGCCCAGACTATGGAATGCGCTCCCCAGAGAGGTTCGCCTCGCACTGACTTCATATTCCTTTCAGCGCCAAGTGAAAACCTTTTTATTGGCCCATCATTTTAATTGTTAGGCATTTTAATCAGTTTTAACTTCACAGTTTTTGATTTTGTTTTTATTCTTGATTTTGATTTGATTTTCTTTCATTTGTGAATTGTTACTGGCTGTATGTGTATATTTAATTATTGTTAACTTGTTGAAGTATCTGTTTTTGATTTTTGTAAGCTGCCCTGAACACTTTTGCGTATGGGGTGGGGGGGAGATAAATATTTTAAATCAATAACATTCACCTCAGTATCAACTCCTGCATTGTTTGCCTTGTTAATATCATGCCTCAACTGCAAACTGCTTATGAACATTAAATAGGTTCACATACCTTACCAGTGTGATACTTCACACAATTTGCAAGTACATCTTATATTCAGTAGAATCATATAGTTTTCTTCCGAGAAATTCCTGCTTAAAATAGTACTGAAAGTACTATTCCGTATGCATGTAGTTTGCATACTGAAAGCATAGGATACTGCCCACAAACTATTAATCTATATTAACTATGCTTTCTGGGTATTATTTATGTTGCCCACATGCCAGAAGAACTCAGCATTAGTGCAATGAGGTGCAGACAATTTTTTAAGCAACCATAAATAAGCTGCAATGCCAATTTCCAGAACAAAAGACACTTAGCAGAGGTCCAAGAAGAATGACCTGTCCCAGTGCAGAAACAATGGTTTCCAGTCATTTCTGGGGTTAGTTTAGGACACATTAACTCCACAAAGCACCAGCAGTTCCACTGGTGCCACAGAATGATAAAGAGCAGGGGAGCTCTTCATGTGATATTCTCCTATATTTTTGCTTGCAAAAGTATGTATTACTACTTATTTCATTTCTGCCCTGCCCTGCCCCACAGGTGAAGCTCCCTGGGCAATTTACAAAAATGCATAAACACAAAACAATCAAATACAAATATAAAATTAAAGCAACAGGAATAAGAATTTGCAATATGACCCTGTAAAAGGAAAAAATGAAAATCATCTGGGATGAGTAATCCCTTTAAACCCCTCGACAGCTAAGTAAATCATTAAAGGCTTTGGCATAAAGGGCTGTATTAACCTACCACCAAAAAGATTACAGATGGCCACAGTGGGGAGACGGTTCCAAAGATGTGAAGCTCTTGCCCTTGCTGCTCCCTTCCAAGTCTCCCTCAGAGCTGACATTCAGAGGAAGGCCCCAGAGGTTGACCATAGTGTTTAAAAAGACTGTGGCTGGGAAAGGAACTCTAACACATATTGTGGTCCCAAGCCATGTATGGCTCCGTCAGCTTCACTGGCTTCCCATTGAAGTCCGGGCTCAATTCAACGTGTTGGTGATGACCTATAAAGCCCTAAACGGCTTGGGTCCTGGTTACCTGAAGGAGCGCTTACATCCATATATGCCCAGCGGCCCCCTGAGATCGGCAGGAGAGGCCCTTCTCCGGGAGCCCTCCGTGGAAGAAGTTAGGAGGGTGGTTACTCGGAGGAGGGCTTTCTCAGCGGTGGCGCCTAAGTTATGGAATGCGCTCCCCAGAGAGGTCCGCCTGGCGCCGTCGTTATTTGTTTTTCGGCGCCAGGCGAAGACCTTTTTATTTAAGCAGTATTTTAAATGTTAATATTATTGAATTTTATCTGGCCAGGGTGGCTTGTTTTATATTGTATGTTTTATATCATATATTTGTATTTTAATGTATATATTTTAAAATGCTATTTTAATTTATTGCTGTAAGCCGCCCCGAGGCTTCGGCGAATGGGACGGCATAAAAATGTTTTAATAAATAAATAATAAATAAATATAGGTTGAAACCAGCACCTTGAACCGGTCCCGGAGGCATAGAGGCAGTCAATGTAATTGGGCCAGAATCAGTCATATACGTTCAGACCTACATATCCCAGTTATTAATCTGGCTGCTGTACTCTGCACAAGCTGCAGTTTCTGAACAGTCCTCAAGGGGAGCCCCATTGCCATAATCTAGTTTAGAGATAATCAAAGTGAAGATTACGGAAACCAGGCTATCCCTGTCCAGATAAGGCATAGCTGGCCCACAAGCTGAAACGGGTAGAATGTACGCTGTGCCACCGTAGCCACCGGGGTCCCAAGTGAACACCCCCAAGTTATGAACCTGCTCCTTCAATGGGAGTGCAACCCCATCTAGAACAGGTTGAACACCTTCCATCTGGGCAAAGGAACCACCCACCGACAGCTTCTTAAGCTTGTCAGGATGCAGATTTAGTTTATTAGCCCCCATCCAGTTCATTTTAGCAGCCAGGCAGCAGTTTAGCACACAGGCTCACCCGCTGAAGATGAAAAGATGATATGCATGTTATCAGCATACTAAAGGCAATGCACCCCAAAGCTCTGGATGAACCTTTCCACAATTTCACGTAAATGTTAAATAGCATAGGAGACAGAACAGATCCCTGAGGAACTTCATGTTGGAGAATTCATGAGGCTAAACAGTATTCCCCAAGCATCATCTTCTGTAGATGGCTGTTCAGCTGGAGCAGAACTACTGCAATGCAGCACCCACTTCCAATTCAAAGAGTCACTCTAGAAAGATATCAAGGTCAATGGCTGTGACCAAGGCTGTTTCCGTATCGAAACTAGATTAGAATCCCAAAAGAAATGCAATCTCCTGTTTTGGCAGAAGCTAACCCAGGCCAAAGAATGTAGTCAAGAGAAAGTAATCATGCTTCACTATAGAATAAAAGAAGTATATTAACTCAGTAAGAATTATTGCTGTAATCAGATGGGCCATTTCAACCCAAGGAATAGAGGGAGGTAAGTATGCTCCCTCATGGAGACCTTGGCTGTCATCAACATACACAAACCTTTCAGTAGCTTGCTTGCTTTTACCACAAATAGGTGGGTCTAACAGAGAAAACTTTTCAAACAGATTCTTCCAAGACAGGCATTACTAATTCCCATGACCTGTTTTGGTATGCTTAGGAACATGAAACATTGCTTCAAATTATGTAGAAGTAGGCATTTGCTTGACTCAGTAGACAGCATTATCTACTTTGCTACTGCAGACAATGCAGGAGTAGTTCTCCAGAGTTTCACACATAGGTCTTCCCCAGAACTACAAGGAAATGTTGAAAACTGGACCTGGAGGCTGTTAAGCTTCAATCCTTTTGAAGATGATATACAACCTTCCTTCCTTTCTAGAAATATGTATTAACAGAAGTTCAGGAAAGGAGGTTGCTTACCTGTAACTGTCCTTCTTTGACTGGTCATCCATACATTCATACACGAGTCTCTGCACCTTTGTGGAACCTGTTACTGGGAAGATTTAATAGCTAAGAGTGTTTTGGCAGAAAGTCTTCCCTACTCTAGCATACATATAAAGGGGAGGGGCTCCTGCCATTTCCCTCAGTTCCAACAAGACAGCCAGGTGGCCTCAGGACCACGGGAGGATTGGTGGTACCAACCCCACATTTAGTGAAACAGTACCATTCCCACTGCAGTAAAAGTGCTACACTCAACATGCCAGCAAATTTGGAAAACTCAACAGTGGCCACAGGATTGGAAAAGAAGCGCAATGCCAATGCATGTTCAAACTACCACACCATTGCACTCATTTCACATACTAGCAAAGATATGCTCAAAATCCTACAAGCTAGGCTCTAGCAGTATGTCGACCAAGAACTACCAGAAGCACAGGCAGGATTTCAAAGAGGGAGGGGAACTAGAGTTCAAATTGCCAACATACGCTGGATCATGGAGAAAGCTAGGGAGTTCCAGAAAAACATCTACTTCTGCTTCATTGACTATGCTAAAGCTTTTGATTGTGTGGATCACAACAAATTGTGGCAAGTGCTTAAAGAGATGGGAGTACCAGACCATCTTATTTGTCTCTTGAGAAACCTGTATGCAGGTCAAGAAGCAACAGTGAGAACTGGACACGGAACCACTGATTGGTTCAAAATTGAGAAAGGAGTTCAGCAAGGCTGTATACTGTCGCCCTGCCTATTTAACTTATATGCAGAGCACATCATGAGCAAGGCCAGGCAAGATGAATCACAAGTTGGAATTAAGATTGCTGGGAGAAATATCAACAACCTCAGATATGCAGATGATACCACTCTCATGGCAGAAAGTGAAGAGCAACTAAAGAGCATCTTGATGCAGGTGAAGGAGGAGAGTGCAAAAGTTGGCTTGAAACGCAACATTAAGAAGACTAAGATCACGGCATCCGGTCCTCTCACTTTCTGGCAAATAGATGGAGAAGAAATAGAAGAAGTGACAGATTTTATTTTCCTGGGCTCCAAGATCACCGCAGACGGGGACTGCAGCCAAGAAATTAAAAGACGATTGCTCCTGGGGAGGAAAGCTACAGCAAATCTAGACAGCATACTAAAAAAGCAGAGA